GAATTAATTTGGTCCTGGAAGCTAGTTGCAACCTGCCATTTTTTCATGTGTAAGATATAGATGGAATAAATTAGATAGTTATATGACTTTGCAGGGTTAAAATAAACTAAGGATGTTAAACAGGCAGAAAGAGCATATGGCATGAAGAAAAGTATGAATTTATCCTAATTATTGTCCGCCAAAAAAATCAAGTTAATTAACAGTCAGAAAATGATGTAAAACAGGCAGCGGACAATACCAATAAAAGGAAAAATTAAAAAAAGAAACCGAAAACTAATTATCATCTAATGCAGTTTTGCAGGAGAAGCCAATGGTCACTACATGAGTTTTAAGATCTCTTCCCAAAAGCACTGTACTGAAATATACCTTAAAAAGCCCAGCCTGCTACACCGTCTTTTCATTCCAAATTTACTTTCATTCCTGTAGCCTTGTGCTCGAAAAGATGAGCTACGTTAGTAGCTGAGGCTGCTACATGAGAGCTGGCACTCATCAGTCTGCCTAACAGAAAATACTAGGAAGGAAACTGGGCCCTTCCCCTTGCGAAGCTCACAATTTACAGCATACTTCTAGCGCTCAGTACAGCATCCTTCAGCGCTGCCTGAAAAAATGCCCTTTCTTTTCCATGAACCGGGCTGTCTTTCTGTTGAGACAAAACCAGTGAAATTCGCTGTTCCCTTCTTGTTATACACGTTCCTCGAGCAGCACTGGCCGACTGCAAAAATCACTGGTCCTTCCAAGGTCTGGGTGAGCAGCAGAGGCCACAGCAGGAAACCCTGAGATGAGCCAGCACACCTGCATAAAACAGGTGGTGAAAAGGGGTGGGCTCCTTTCTGTTGGAAGGACACCGTCAAGCCCTGGAGGAGTGAGAGCGACGTGGCTATGCCCCTCGGAGCCGCCAGCCTCACGCTCTTTCGGGAACACCTTGTAGAAACCCCCTGAGCCTGGGAAATCTGAGGCTGGCTTTGATGGGCTGAGCGACACTGGTTCCCTTCTTCCTTCAGAGATCCCCTGCACAGGAGCGTGTGCTCCATCTGCCATTTGGATGACACCTTCCCCTGCTACCAGTGACCCTCGTGGGCTCTGGAAATCAAACAGCAATGAGCCCTGCTGCACACCTGCAAGTGCAGCTTTCAAAACCCACAGGAAATGCATAGTGAAGCAATTTTTTCAGTTGTATATGACACCTGATGCTTCCATTATTTTCTTTTCAGAAAACAAACAAACAAACCATAAAATAGGAAATTAGATTAGAATTATTACTTTGTCTGCAAGGTTAAAGCAGTCAAAGAAAAGGAAATTCAGGCTGCTTATGAACCCTTAAATTGTCCGCTACACATAGATGTTCTTGCACGTATGCCTTATGAAAGACTTGCATTACCCAACCCCGTGATATTTTTCGCATGGGATCCTTCATGGTTATGCTCATCAGGGCACAAGTCGAGCACACAAGGGAAGGCTGAAGAATGTATGGATGATACAAAATCTGGTTACTCCTAAGTTTCAAGCACTTCACTTGGTAACATATGAGGCTACTGTAGCATGCTTTGAATGTTATTACAGTGGATGGCATCCCTCACTGACAGAATAATATAAGTACAAAAAATCATAACCATTCCTCATCTGCAAGACAACTAAAACTGCCTGTAGATTCTAAGGTGCCATTTAGCAAAAAAAAAAAAAAATCTGGAAATTGGTTTTGCCCCATCCAAATAATTTTTTGTCTGTCTTTTCTTGAATCTGTCTTTCAGATGAAGAAATCATTTTATATTCTACAAATTGTTTTCAGGTTGGCACATGGAAACAGTTCTGGAGCAACAGCAGAGCCAGAAATACAGTAGGAATCACACAGAAATCTGTGGTGCTTCGCATAATGAAAGAGCAAACAAAATCACACCTCTCCCCCAGAATCAATGCACCTGGAAGTAGTAAGAGACAGACTACTACAAATATGGTCTCCATCACAAAAACCTTCAGCTGTACTGGCAGAAACACATGGTGACTACTACCTGCTTTCCAGGTTTAGTACTGATTCAATGTATTAGCAATCAAAGAACATTTTTATAGCATTTAAAACAGAATATACCTCACCACGTAACAGGAGGGCTGAAATGTCAGTCAACGCTTTTTATGCCTTTTACTAGATTTTTGGAACTCCTGGTTCAAAGGGTTTAGGATGAACATCTGTAAAGGAGGTTCATCCATCACTTATTTCAATATGTTAAACCTCTCCAGTCAGTGTTCAGGAAGGGTCACCCAGGGGAAACCCACAGCTGTCCCTTTCTTCTTGCCCAGACCTTGTGTATTTTCACTCACAAGCCTTCTCAACACATATTCCCTACTGTTCTCACACAAGGATTCATCCAACACATTAAGGAGGACCTACTGAAAACAAAAAAGCCCCACCCAACCTTCTCCACAAGAAGAACTTCTGGGGAAAAAAACACACACACAAAGAGAAGAAACAGAAGGAAAAAAGAATAAGGTGTTACTTACTGGTTAACACAGTGATTGATCTTGCTGACTTGGAAACCATATTTGAGTTCACTACCAACAGAGTTACTATGTAATATAGGCCATGGTATTTGGCATTAAAAACCACAGGGGCAGGTAAAGTGCTATTGAATTCTTCGAACTGGAAAAAGTAGTTCTTGGATTCTCCAGCTATCTTCACAACATATACAGAGGATGAGCTCACCACATCAGATGCTTCCAGGGAGACAATGATACAATTGTCTTCTCGGACAGTAACCTGGAAAGGTTCTGCATTCTACAAGACAAGAATAAAGACTTTGCTGAAGTAAAATCTATTATTTCGCTTTTACCCATTTCCCTTGGTATTCATAGGACACTCATGTTATATTTCCGATAAAATTACATTTCATATTCTGCAAGACAGTTAACATCAAACCCTAGCAAGTTTTTCAGAATACAATTCACAGTCAGACAAAGTCCACAGGCATCTGATTATCAGGCTGGTGTCTCTGCAGTGGAGGCTGGTTCCTGCCTTCTGTTTTCTGATGCTCTGGCTACTCCTTCCTTTACATCCCAAGGAACAAAGCCTCCGCCATTCTTTTCTGACAGAAGGTGGAGTAGAGCAGAAGGAGGATGAGATTAAAAAGGGTATCAGGGGCAAAAGGATTTCCAATAGAGCCACAAAGTGTAAGTCATTTAAATCCCAAAAAAGAGATGATTATACCAAGACTCTTTTATCTTGCAGAAACACAATCATATATTCGTCAATGCAATATATTCTGAAAGCCTGCAACCGAAGAATAATTTTTGGCACTGACTAAGCTTTTCCAAATATGTCCGTTCCAGCAAGTACCAGGTGATAAGCAGCTCTCAGCGCTACGTCTATGGCTTTGGTTGGCACTTTTCATTTCCTAAGCTACACCATTTCATTTTCAATATTTCTTTTATTAGTAGTAGTGAGAAAGAAGCAATTTAACCTTGTTTTCATATATCATGAGCATGTTAAGTCATTGCCAGCTGAAAACACTTTCCTTTTTATTAATTGCAAACCAGCTGTCAGCAAGAAGCACTTGTTCTCTACAGGAATTTCAAAACAGATTCATGGTAATTAATGAGAAGGAAAAGTTCAAGCTTTAATTGAGAGTTGCCTTTTTGTTTATTAGGCCATGCTGCTGCTTAGAATTTTTCTACCACCAGTGAAAACTGTAATACCTGATATTTTCAATTCCTAACTCTGTGGCACCTTTTTCTCCTTCATACTTCACAGGCTGAGAGCTCTATTTGGAAGGCAGGGTGGGCAACCATGGCTAGTTTGCAACTTACTCATTCAGTCAAGTTGTTCCTGTACCAAAGAGCTAGACACCTCCTTCAGAGAGTAATTCTAGCAGCTTGGCTACCTCCTGTCTTGTAGTTTTGTTTAGTGGGGATTCTTCCATGAGAATAATCTTTTTTTGATTTATGATGCAGGAGCCAGGCTCCCTGTTTGGAATTCATACATATGGTGTTGCCAACTCCTGACATTCAAAAAAACAAAAAAAAACCCCAAGAACAAAGTATTGGTTCCAGGACTGTAAGATTTTAAATAACAGTAGTTTGCCTTTACATATATTTATGCTTTAATCACTGGGCTTTGAGATTTCACAGTGTACCTAAGGTCATATCACCCTATAGGCAAAACTATAGGCTTGAGAAGAAAGGATGTAAGCAAACCCACTCATCTGGCCCAACATGAGAACAAGGTATCAAGTGTATAATAAGTCCAGCCCAAATAGGATAACCAGTCTAGACAGCTTCAAGCCTGAGATTAAAAATAGAGGCAATGCAACTTCAGCTGCTGATTTGAGGTTTGCTTTGATTAGCCATTTAAAAAATGACTTTTAAGTTGCTAAAAATGATATAAGCCAATGTTATCAATGGATGAATATTTTGGTGTGGCATTCTGGGTAATTTTTCACAGATGGCAGAGCGATTGCTCAAAAAGGTTTACAATGTAAGACTACAATTATGCAAAAGCTTCCATGTGTTTTCCTTAGCCTCAGCTGAATTCAACAGGCTTACCCTTCAGTAGATCAAAATACCACATTTCAAGTGTTTGTATTTTGCCTTAAATCCTGATCCAGCATTTCGATCCACACAGATTCAAACCTTTAACAGGGGATTATGTTTACATCTGCTCAAAAACAAGTAGAGATTCTCTTATCCTTCTTCCTCCCCATTCTCCCCGCACTAAGAAAATGTGGAGTGATTCCTATTTCAGCTCTCCTGACGTGGGAAGACAGAAGAAAGAAGGCACCCACAGACTGGCTTTCCAGAAGCATGTGCGCCATTGTATCACAGAAAGCACGGTTGTCTTCCAAGGCCAAACGAGGAAAGACAGACCTGATTCAGCAAGGTTATTTCTACATATTAAGCTTGAAGTGCGTGTATAATCCCACAGAAGTCAGTGGGTTTTGACCTTCCACAGACTTGCGTTTGAATGCTTCAGTAGAGGAAAGAGAACAGTGTTATCTCTAAAATTACTCTAGCCTTCCCTCGGCTTTGCCGCTGAATTGCGTGGTGCTAACTCAACGTGCCTACCTTGCTGGGAAGAGACAGACAAAAGAGACCAGCAAATTTATACGTGCCAACAAACACTTCAAAGCAAGTTCCATGTGTTTGGTGGTATTATAAATAATTTGTGATGTTAATCAAGTACAGCTGGAAATTAAGCATATAATTGCAGAGTTATAGACATCCCTAGGATATAATTAGATGCTTTCAGACTGCTCATATGGGGTGTGATTTTATTCTTTGATGCTTCCATAGGTATTGTATTAACCATGTTGAAGACTGTACTTTTATTTTTTCCCTCGCAATGTTTTCTTGAATTCACAGCAAGTACCATTCGGTGAATGATCTACTAACCTTCTTCGATAGCTCTCACACAATTAGCATAACATGCCTCTGCTAGCTAAATACACAGAAACCTCACAGATATATGCTATTGTTACCTATGACAACACCTGACTGGGGAAAATAACTTTTTTTGAGTCCTTTATCGCCTAAGCATGTGGGGATTGGGAAATGATAGCCTCCCTCCTTTGTGTGCCTGCATCCAGATGCTTTTGAACCTCTGCTGCCATGATGCACAGACATTTTTTGAGTGACATCTCTTCAGTAGCAGTGTGGCTTATCCATCCCACGCCAGCGCCCACCTGCATATATCCCTCCCTTGAGTGGTACCTATTCTTTTCAGTGATTATGTGGCCCTCTCCCACACACCTGTGTGTGCATCCTGTGCATGCAGCTTTTAAACTGCTGCATGCACAGGACACATGGTTTGTGGGAGTCATCTGTTGTTTATTATCCATTGGCTCCTGAAATAATTTTTATCCTTTCATTTCAGCTCTAAGGTTTGGTTTCTAGAATGAAGTGGCAGATAAGGGATGAATAAAAAGGCTCAGCAATTAACATGCCGTAAGATGAGATCACTTATCTCCTTTGGGATATGGATTTCACTTTGGCAGTGTTTTAAAAGAACAGACCATTCTGGGCACCCTGTTCTTCATGTTGTATGAGATTGAGGGTTACCAGCCAGGACCGGGCTTGTGATTTTGGGAAGAAGGCTAGGGACAAACCTGAGTATTTTTTCTAAGCACCGCTGGAAGTGACAAACATGCCCCACTTAACTAGAGTGTAAAGCCAGTGTGTCTTAGGACTGACAGCATCAGTATGGTAAATACACATTTCATTACTTCTGGTCAGCTACCTCCAGGATTTAATTTGCTGGTGTCACAGCTTGAGCGGCTGTTTCATGCCTGTGGGGAAATTTGGCAAGGCTTGTGCATTCAGAACCAAATGATTAGCTCCAACTTCCTTCCTAGTTTATTATTACAAGCTCGTGCCACACTAAAGCACTTAGGAAAAAAAAAGGGGGGAGGGGGGAAGTAAATCCCACAATGTGATGCCTGTTCACAAGTCATTTCCAGCGCCTGGATGAGTCATGCTAGTGGAATTTCCAGCCAATAACCAGGTCCCAATTAAAATAAAAAGGAGGGGGAGGCAAGGAGATATACAACATGTCAAATAAACAATATTCAAAGAGTAATAGGGAAATAAATGGTGTGCAGCAGAGCTCAGAGTTCTTTTTTCAGAATTCTATATCCTCAGTTTATTCCTTTAAAACAGTATGAGTTTTACACATGAGGAAGAGATCAAAGTTGCAAACCAGCTACTAATTGTATGTACTTTAGCTTTTGAATGTCTCACTCTGAAACACATTGAGCCAGGGCCCAATTATCAAAAGTGCACATAGTTACATGTTGTGCTGACTTTAAGAGGAGCTGTGGATGCTCATCAGCTCTGTAAAATTAAAGTACTGGTAACTGCATCACATTGTCTAATGTTAGACAAGTGGAACTAAGACCCTGAACAAATCTGACTTCTGTCAGCTCTTATAGAGTAAATCCTGAAGTATCACAGAGTTTTCGAAGTGGGCATCTAAAATCCCAAAGCAGGAGTAAATTTTAAAGCTATGAGGAACTATTTCTTAGGGCAAAAGTACCTTTATGATCACCTACTGCATAATGGTGGTCAAGAATAACATCAATGTAAGTATTACAAGACAGTACTGAACACTATATCCAGACGTCTTGGATGAAATACTGGCTATTTTTGTGAGTGATTCTACTATACTCAGATATATTTTGTTCCAGTGGCCAATAATGCTAATTTCATTCTAAATCACACGATGACTCATTCTCACCAAGATTCATCTTATTTAATTTTAGGGACTTAAATGTAATGACTGAGAGCCAGGATGACCTTTTCAGACAGAGTACCTGTGGATTAATCTGAGATCTGAATTACTTTTGAAAATGCACTGAACAGCCAAAGGGTCTGTGCTCCCAGCTCGGTAAAATTCCTGCAGTCCTCTGTCACCGGGTGCAGTGAGTCCAAGCCTTATAACAAAGATAGGACTGGGATCCAGATTTCAGGATCTTGGCCTCTGCTATAGTCTTGCAGTGCTACCTCCACAGAAAGCACATAAGAAATTTCATAAAAGAAATAGTATTGCAAAACATGCATAAAAGTCACATCACAGTATTTTTGCACCAGCTTCCTAATGTATGTTTTTCCTCTGATGGTGACAAATGATACTGAAGAACAATTACAATAAAAATGGTAAACATTCATGTTATTCAGAAATTGGAATCTTATCTCCAATAAATCTACTATGCACTTGTTGGAAATTTATTGTTTCATGTGAGTCATTGTGCAGGGAACAGAGTCAAATTCTGGCCTTTTTAAACTGTTTCAGTA